TCCTGCCACAAAATGGAAATTAGAAATGACGGCGCCTATACATATGATAACGTTCGTTATTCGATGCTCTAGGAACGGTTAGGGAACCGATCAAAATTCTTAACGAGCTTGTAACCAATAAGCGTATTTTTACAAGTGTGAGTAGGCAGTAGTTTAGTCGCGTATTATCAGTCGGCCATCGAGTCGTTCAGCGTATTCATTAATGCTGAGTTATTTTTTTAAGTGTCCTATTCGGACAAAACATTCGTCAACGTCTTTGACCTCTAGAAAAATTGAGTTTTTTCTTCGACAACGGTTACGTCGATTGCTTGTTTTTTTTTCTCCCCCAGAAAATTTACTCATGCTCATTTTGATAGTCTTTAAGAATTAATGGAGAAGCGTGAGTAATATGTAGCCTTCATTGAAAACCAGTGAATAGAATATGAATTACACTCCGGGAGTAGGCTAAGTACAACAATAGCAAGAACAAAAAAAAATAATAATTGGCAGACAAAATAGCACAAGGTAGACAAATATGAAAGAAAGTTAGAGGTTCTAAGTCAGACTGATCCTATCAAATATGCTCCGCTGAGAGACTATGAAGGAGTAGCGTTGCATTCAATAAGATCTCATGTAGATCAAAATGAAGAAGAAACATTAAAAAAAATTGGCATCTTTCTGTTCACAGTCTTACTTGTTTTCTCCTACAGTAAAACATCTGCAGGTTAAAGTATACAGAAAAATAAAATGTGTAGAAGGTTATGATAATGAAACATGGTGAATTTGTATTCAGGTCACTTAGCCTGATAAAGAGGCTGCAAACAAATATAAACAAAAGATCAGTACCTATGACCTTCCACGGAAAAAATGAATGCCATAAAAGAAGCGTGAAGCACAGAATGCAACAAAGGTTAGTAGCATAATGGATCATTCTTCCTGTAAGATTTTGACAACTTGACCTTTATAATCCTCACTTAAAACGTCATGTCCTCTGTAAGCATAGAAAGATGTGGCAGTTAATTTTTAGCTTTCAACTTTCATCAAAAGAGTACAAACAGAACTAAGTACTCTTCACTATTTACAGCAGGTACCTATATAGTAGGGCCAAAGGATAGCTATTTTCTGGGTCTGAGCATGCAGTAATTACTTCCATTAACTAAATCCACAAGACCGTTTAAAACAGGTCAAAATTATTCAAAAAATTTAAATAATCTCAGTGCAAGTTCCAACCCAAAGAAACATGCTGCATTTGCAGGAAACGCACGAAGCATCACAGGTGTGAATCCCTTGAATAGAGCCTTAGGCCCTTCTTCTCGTATAACCTCTCGAAATACTCCTCGAATGCCTATAAGAATATCAGTACCATGAGTCTCACGCCAGTTGTACATTTTGACATAGATATCATCGCAGAAGTCTCTAACAAAGGAAAATGCTTCCCATCTTGCAAAAACCTACTTACCAGTATTTGGAGTAAAATGAAAGTTAACAAGGAGTAAAAACAGGAAAAAAACAAAAATTAACCATCAGGATACTTCCCCTCTGGAGCAGTCTGAAGCCGTGATTTGAGCACATCAGCGGGGATGCATACAGACCAATTGGCGATGCCAGCAAAACCACCGGCTGCCAATATGGCCCCAGTTGGGAGCTTCTGGTCAGTGTGACCGCCAGAAAATAATTTTTTCAAGTATTCATAAGTGGAAAGGTACGCACCGCTAGCGGGAATATCTGTAACAGCACGTAAGTTCTGCTAAAAAAGCTAAAATAAGTGAATCATATTTTACACTATAAAACTGTACTCGTTTTCAGTGGGTATTACAAAAATAAAACTATAGATCAACGATTTAGAAACAACAGCCCATTGAAATAAACAAATAGGCTGAAAGTCAGACCTCTTAGCAATGTTGCAAATGTTCCTCTGTACAGACTTCGTATTCCACCTTCTTTGTACAACTTTTTAACAACATCAATAGGACCGTCATAGTGTGGAGCACCAGGAACTTTATGTCCTGACTGTTGAACCTTCAAATTATATTGATGTAATGTAGAAGAAATGGTTTGTTACTGGTCTCAGAACTTCTTTACAGCTCATATATATACCTGTAGAACACACTTAATCCTTTCACCTGGTGCCATAACACTGGTTGTTAGAATACCAGCGAATGCTCCAGCATTAAAATTTTGTAAAAATGTCAATTCGTCAGCTGGCTTAGAAGACTGTAATCTTCGTCCTATCTCACAGCCACCAAAAAATAATGCGAACAACGGTGCAACACCGACAATTGGAGCTGCCATTCCCTGAAAGTGACAAAAATTTCTATAATTATGAAAAAGATACGACAATAACCAGTTATTTTTATGCTAAAAATTAATGGTTTAACTTTGTGATATGATATTTCCGCTTTTTTAGTAGCACAGTACATAAGTAATTCAAGAAAACGCTATGAAATGTTTGTCATACACTCATTTTACTAAGTTTCAAATAATTAAGCAGGAATTTGCTTAAACAAATCTAAGGCTTGCTAGTAAGCTATCATTTATTAATAAATTAACAACTATTTCTCCCATTAAAAATTCCCTTAATTTTGAAATTATACCATTTGTAAAATAATACGTGGTATCCAATACCCACCAAATGATATTAGGAAGTGGCAGACCAGAACTGCTCCAACAAGTACTTAAAAAAAAAACAATATTAAAAATTACTTACCACTTTAAATTTCTAGATAACCACACTGAAAAAAGTCAAAAAATTACCTTGTATAAAGCTAAGACCCCTTCTTTGGTTACCGTTTTTGCAACACAATCCATGGCTCCTTTAAAAAGTGGTTGTTCGCCAGGTGCCGGTACCGGCATAGTTTGGAGTCTTACTTTGACGGTATCAAATGGATGACCAGTTGCCACGCAGCATACTCCTCCGAAGCCTCCAGAAACAAAGTTTTTGAATACTTCATAGTTGGCATTTGAGGGCATATCCAACTAAATTCAGCATCGCAAATTAATCGGAATTTTTAATCCAACAAGGTCCATAGTAAAAATACAGCAGTTGTACAGTTTTACAACAGTCAGTTACCATTTACTCAGTATGTTAATACGGCAACGTTTTTCAATAGAAAATGCAGAAAAATAAAACGACGATACAGAGCAACGGAAAACAAATATTTATTAATCAATCTAAAAATTGAATGCAGTAACCAAATTTTAAATTTAATTCCACATTTACTCATTACACATCAGATGCATCACATTCGTACCGCTGTTTTCAACATATCAAAAAAATTCTTTTTCAAAAACTAAAATAATAAAACAAAAAAAAATTAACTTTCCGCTCAACAATACTCAATAAATCGTTTAAAAATGAAGAAACAAATACTTTTGAGGAAAGTAATGATGAACAACTTAATGTCAAAGAATAACTGTGTCCTATAGCAGTGGTTGCATCCGTTTTCTTATACAACAGCAGCCAACGAACTTGTAACTAGCCAAAAAAAAGGGTTAGAAGTAACCATAGTTTAGCTACTATACCTCCTCTTTGATACAACAGACTTACAGAAGACTTACGCAGTAAGACAAAAAAAAAAATAACAGTGCAGCTTTGTCGTCTGACGTAAGTATATTTTTCAGTTGTACAAACTTTTTATCCAATTAAGTTGTTGTTATTTTTTCAATTAATCAATTTTTCAAAATCCTACAATTTCAATAATTTATCCTTTTCAAATACAGATTTTTCTTTTTATTTTCTATTAGTCAACAATGTATAAAGATTCTAAAAGGAAAGAGACAACTCATTTAAACTACATAATTTGTATCTTT